TAGGGGCTTAGGGCTTAGGGCTTCGGGCTTAGGGCTTGGGGCTTCGGGCTTAGGGCTTAGGGGGGGTATGACACAACCCCAGGTACAACTGCAACAACTTCTACCGCGAAGGCGGATCCAACCGCAGTCGGCGCTGCGGGTCTTTTCTTGCGGGGGACCGGCAAGAGTTGGTTTTGGGCTGAGGGTTTTTAGGGTTTAGGGTTTAGGGTTTAGGGTTTAGGGCTTCGGGTTTAGGGTTTGGACTTTGGGGTTTCGGGTTCAGGGTCTCGACGCCATGCTGGTAGGGTGGAGGGTTCAATTTCTCGGAATGGGCGACTTTGAGGACAAGAAGTAGCCTCTGGCCCGAGACTCCTAGACCTTAAACCCAATATCTGCAGCCCCTGCCTTTCCCGAACGGTTTCCGCTCGGTTCGCGCATGCCCCAAGTCCGGAATCATCGACTTTGCAGACTGCCACGGTGCGTGGGTCCCTAGCCCTAAAGCCTTAAGGTTCAGGGTTTAGGGTTTAGGGTAAGGCCAAGGCAACTCAAACAGCAGGCAGTCAGCCTTGCAACCCACTGCCACTGCGATTCCCGGCCCTTGGGCCATTGAATCCCTAATGAGGGTTTTTAGCGTTTAGGGTTTAGGAAACTTAATGGCCCAGTGGCACCCTTTACCCTTCTTTGGGGCTCTGGGTTCCCTTATAACGTAACCAACCCCTAAAACGGTACCCTTCTTGTAATCTGGTTCCTGGGGCTACCAAGACTCCCCCAAGCCCGGAACCCAATTAGGGTTTAGGGTTATTAGGGTTTAGGGACTCTTCTACCAGGCTCCATCTGCTGCGACCACCACCATCGCGACCACAACGACCTCTGACATAGACGAGAAGTGGTCTGTGAATATGCCTTTCCTTCTCTGGGATGCACGATTCTTGAAACCGGCGTCCTAGCTGCTACTGAGAGTAGCGCCTTTAGAGGTTTCATGCAGTTCTGAAGGCTGAACTTAGCCCTTGGGCACACCGGCACACACGTGCACATCTCCGGCTAAACCCTAAACCCTAAACCCTAAACCCTAAACCCTTAAGCCCTGCCAAAGGTGTCGGGTCTCAGTAGGGGTGTCCTGGACCACGCAACAATGACTCGCCGCGACATGAGCAAAATGTGCAGAGGCAGAGCTCGCCCCTCAGACCCCAAGTCTGCTGGGAAGCTTGACCTGGCAATTAAACAGGGTTTAGGGGTTTAGGGTTTCGGGTTTATAGGGTTTCGGGTTTATAGGGTTTATAGGGTTTGTATGGTTTACAGGGTTTGTAGGGTTTATGGGGTTTATAGGATTTATAGGGTTTATAGGGTTTATAGGGTTTAGAGGGTTTATAGAGTTTAGGTTTCTGGTTTCTGGAGTGTGCTTAGGGTTTATAGATACTGGTGAGTGTATGCATTTCGTGTCCTTTTGGCCATACTTGGAAAACAGGCCCCTCTTCGACGTGTCTTCTTCAAAACAGAATGAGGTCCTCTGTAACTCACGACGACTGGCCATTTGCCGCCCCGCTCCTTACCTGTAGAATCCAAAACCTACTTCTTTGTAGGTTGCCTAAGAATCCTAAAAGGGGTCTGGGAAGAAGAACCTACATAACAGCAGGTTTTGAGTTCTTAAGGTAAAGCATATCTTGGAGGTTCATGGGCACTGCAGCTGTACATGCGGCTTCAAGTAAGGTAGCTGTCGGTTCGGACGGGCCACAACCTTCTTTGGTGGGCTTATACACAGCCCTTTCGTAGCACCCACGCTCTCTCACTCTCTCTGTCTCCCTCTGTGTGTCCCTCTCGCTCGCTCTCTCTCTCTCCCGCTCTGCCTCTCTCCTCCGCACCCTAAACACTAAACAACCTCCTATTCTCTCTAAGCCCTAAACCTGCCTATAGGTTTTAGGGTTTCGGGTTTAGGGTTTAGGGTTTTTGGGTCCCTAAGCCCTACATCGTCAGGAAGTCCTGCCCAAAGCTGTAGCGCAATCCGAATTGCGCAGGGGGTCTGCAAGAACCTCCGCGACCCCTGGCATAAGGGCATTTCCCGAAAAGGGGTATTCCTTATTTACCCCAAAATATACTACAAACCCTCAACCCTCAACCCTGAACCCTAAACTTTCCCTGAACCCTAAACTTTCCCTAAACCCTAAACCCTAAACCCTAAACCCTAGACCCTAGACCCTAAACCCTAAACCCTAAACCCTAAACCCTACCCATGACCCCTGGCATTTTTGACACCCCCGCGCAGGATCGACGATGCCCACGGCCTCCATGTGAGCTTCCGCAAGTCTGGCTCCTTCTACTTCCTGGAGGAGCAGGACTGGGGTTTGGGGTTTAGGGTTTAGGGTTTAGGGTTTAGGGTTTACGGTTTAGGGTTTAGGGTTTAGGGTTTAGGACATAGGGCCCTACCTTCTTTAAAGGGTTCTGAGGCTCGTGATTTTGGGCTTCAAAGGGTATATAAGGGCTGTATAAAAGGGGTCCCCAATAAAGGCCCGCCGGATGGACACTGCGACGTCCTCTTCTAGACACACCCTAAACCCTAAATCCTAAACCCTAAACCCTGAACCCTAAACCCTACACTGCTGGGCCCCTCCAACCGGAGTTTTGGAAGTGGTCTTGGAGGCTATCGGGGCCCACCTTGATCGCCTTCCTAGAACCCTGGGAGGATCCAAAAAGTAGATCCCCTCAAGGGTTCCCAAGCATCACGGCAACAGTGGTGTAGGGTACTACTTGGGGCTTCTACTTTTTTTGGGATCCTCCCAGGGGTCTGGATTGAGGCCGCGGTGGGACTTTGCACAGAGTAAACTGTCTTTGGCTGGTGAGTAAAGCATGAGTACCTGTGATTCCGGGTCGAGGCGATCATCTTTTCGGCGTCTGCACCTCTTGGAGAACCCGTGGACCCCCTGGTGGCCCATACGAAGAGACCATACAACTTCCCTTAGTGAGGCACCCTATAGAACCCCTAAACAGGGATAAATGAATCTTGGGGATATAGGATACCTAGTTCCCTCATTCCCTACGAAGAGCCAGCAGGTCTTAGGATTGGATACGAGGACGCCCAGACAGTTAGGATTTGGGACGACTCCTTGCATAGACCTAGTTAGCCAAAGGAGGGTGCCCTTTTCTTTCCTCGGTTGCCGGGGCATTTGGGCCTCTAGCAAGCCGTTGCCTTATGAAGTTACTATGAATGGGCCTGTGTGTAGAGGGATTGTAGGGGTAGATTTGACATCCCGGTCCACAGAACCCCCCCCCCCCCCCCGCACAATCCGCAAAAGCGGATCAACCCCTACACCCCTGAAGCCTTATCCTCTAAAACCCTAAACCCTCTAAACCCCGAAATCCCTAAACCCTGGCCCTAGAACCCCGAAAATCCTAAACCCTGAACCCTCTAACCCTGAACCCTAGAGCGCTGAACTTCTTCAAAACCCGAGCCCCTCAGAGCCCCCAAGCCGAAGCAAACCCAGACCCCAGCATCCTAGGGGTAGGGTATTTTTTTTGTGTTTTTTTCTGGTTTTTTTTTGTGTTTTTTTCTGTCTTTTAAGCAAGAAAGAAAGAAAGACAGAAAGAGAGAAAGAAAGAAAGAATGAAAGAAAGAAAGGAAAGCAAGACAGAAAGAAAGAAAGAAAGGAAGAAAGAAAGGAAAGAAAGAAAGAAAGGAAAGCAAGACAGAAAGAAAGAAAGAACTAAAGAAAGAAAGGCCGAAAGAAAGGAAAGCAAGACAGAAATAAAGAAAGAAAGAGAGAGAAAGACAGAAAGAAAGAAAGAAAGAAAGAAATAAAGAAAGAAAGAAAGAAAGAAAGAGAGAAATAAAGAAAGAAGGAAAGCAAGACAGAAAGAAAGAAAGAGAGAAAGAAAGAAAGAAAGAGAGAAAGAAAGAAAGAAACAAATAAAGAGAGAAAGAAAGAAAGAAAGACAGAAAGAAAGAAAGAAAGAAGGAAATAAACCCCCCCGCTTTGTTTAAGCCGTGCAAGCTTGCCTCAAAGCATATGCCATATGCACACTTTTGCGGAAACCCATCATGCGAGAATCGTCACATTTTCGGAAACCCATCATGCGAGAATTGTGTTTGCAAATGGGGGGGGGCTGCGCCCCCCCCAACCCCCCCGCTTTCTCAAGCCGTGCAAGCTTGCCTCAAAGCATATGCCATATGCACACATTTTCGGAAACCCATGATGCGAGAATCGTGTTTGCAAATGGGGGGGGCTGCGCCCCCCCCAACCCCCCGCTTCCCGCAACACACCCTACACCCTAAACCCTAAGCCGTAGTTCCGGACTGAAGGGGCAATGATACGAGGAGCAACCTTGACCCCGCAAACCATAGAGCCTAATACGACCCAAACCGTCCACCATAAGCCGCAAATCCTGATAGAATGTTTGCGGCCTACATGCGCAGTAAGCCCTAAACCGAAGCAAAGTTTCAGATTGAAGCATCCGAGGTTCCTCTTGAACCAGCCCCGGATGTTAATTAGCTTTTGAGTCCTGTCGGGGCCAACGATGGCCGCCCCGACGCTCCAAGCGCGAGTTGCAAAAGGACGAAGGGTTGGACGTAATGTGTTGTTGTAGCACGTTGAGATTTGGACCTGTTCCGGACACGCGGTGCCGCTGAGAGGCCATCGGAAGCTGAAAACCAGCAAAATTCACTAAAAAAACCAAAAAAATGCACAGAAAAGAATTCCCACCAGAGGAGGACGACAGGCAGAACCAGGAGGGCATGTTCTGAAAACCACAGGAAAAGCAAGAAAAAGCCAGAAAATTCACAAAAAAAAACCAGAAAAATTGACAAAAAAAATCCTCGCTCCGCATCCTACTCCGCAAAGGGTTTAGGGTTTAGGGTTTAGTGTTTAGGGTTTAGTGTTTAGGGTTAGGGTTGATAGGGTTTAGGGTTTATCTGGGCTTGGGGGGTTAGGGTTTACCAGAAGGCCTTAGCTGGGTTTAAGGAAAAAGCTCTCAATCCCAAAATCCCCGGGTTTAAAACCTAAAGCCCCAAACCCCAAACCCCTCACCAACAGGCTCTGATTCGCAGCTTGTCAGCGCTTCTCCTTTGGATACAGCAGCTTGGCACCAGGTTTCGGGTTAGCATGGTTTAGGGTTTAGGATTTAGGCATGGTCTAGGGTTTAGGATTTAGGGCTTAGGTCTTTGAAACCCTGAACCCTGAACGGGCTTTCAGTATCTTCATAGAGTGATCGGGAGGGGCGCTTGTGGTTTGCACAAGGCACACTAGTGATTCGGTAAGAAGGAAGTTAACAGGTTTGGTCAAATGGTTGAAGGGTCTCCGCTGCTGCTCTAGGCCCAACCCCTACACCCTAAACCCCAAAGTTTAGGTTTAAGCCCTAAACCCTAAACCCTAAACCCTAAACTCCCTGTAACATCAACCCTAGAACCTGTCAAGCCCCAAAATCCCGAGCTCTAAACCCTAAACCCTAAACCCTAAACCCTAAACCCAATTTCCATGAAACCTTATTGCGCACCCAGGCCCTAAAAGTCGCCCATTTAGGGTTTAGGGTTTAGGGTTTAAGGTTTAGGCTTAGGCCTCGGGATCCCCTCTAGCCTCGCAAGCTGCAGGTTTCCCGTCCTGATCACCTACTGGCACCGGCCTCGGACGAGGGTAAAGGGTGTGTCCGTAGGGATTTGGGGGATAGCTGAGGGATGTTTAGGGGCTTTGGGGCTTCAAGGGCTGCAGGGCCGTAAAGGGGGTTTAGGGATTGAGATGCCAGAGTTGCAGGACCGGTTGATTCTGGTGACTTAGGGTTTAGGGTTGAGGGTTTAGGGTTTAGGGTTTAGGGTTTAGGGTTAGGATTTAGGATTTAGGGATGAGTTCGGGATTTTGGGGGGATCACGGTGACACTGGGTGCGGCTCTGTGGGTGTGCCCAGCCATGGAGGCGGCGGTCCGTCAGTTACTCGAGGGCAAAGCCAAGGACACCGAGGTCTACGCTGTGGCAGACTGGACTCACAAGCTCAACATGGGTTTAGGGTTTAGGGTTTAGGGTTTAGGGTTTAGGGTTTAAGGTTTAGGGTAGCAACAACTGGCCTGTTTTCGTCCTAGCACTGTGCGCCAAGCACTGGGATGCCCATTCCTCGCTCCCGGCAACTACCACCGTGGAGATAGGCGTGGGCACTGCCCCGAAGGAGCAGTGCATCGACGCCACGGTTGGGCTAGTGCGGCTGCTCTTCGACGAGTACGAGCGCTTGGCTTGCTGGGTCGAGTTCACAGCATCCGGTGGGACAACACGACTGCAGGCGCCGAGTGCCCAAAGGTGGGTGGTCGTGCCGGGCGGCCTTGGTCTGTTTGAAGGTCCGGGTTTCCGCCTCAAGCTCCAGACCCCAAGCCCTCAACCCTAACCCTAGAGCCTAAACCCTAAACCTTCAGTGAAAGGGTTCTTAAAGGAGGGGGGTTCAAAGGGGGTAGTAACCCGCTCAAGCCGCTCAAGTATGGTCCCGTGTGGGGTCCTTCTTCTAAGGCCCCGAATATTTGGGGTACCCAAAAAGGCACTATACTCTCGAGAACTGACCATGTGTCATGGCAGCAACAGTCCTCTTTTGAAAGGGGTTTAGGGTTTAGGGTTTAGGGTTTAGGGTTTAGGGTTTAGGGTTTAGGGTTTAAGGGTGGCCTAGACCCCTCCGGCCCGAAGGCCCGGGTTTTTGCGGGGCTTTTTTGAAAGTATCTCCAGGGAAGCAGGGGCAAAGAAGCTGCTAACGTTACAAGCGTGGGTTTAGGGTTTAGGGGTTTAGAGGTTTCGGGGTTTAGGGTTTTAGGGTTTTGGGGGTTTAGGGGTTTAGGGGGTTTAAGGGGGTTTCGGGGTTTCGGGGTTTCGGGGTTTAGGGGTTCAGGGGTTTAGGGTTTAGGGTTTAGGGATTAGGGTTGTGAGGCAGGGCCATGACGGCGGTATGTAGGGCTTGGATGCCTTAGGTTCTGCATGCTGCTCCTGGGCACCCTCTCCAGCATCTACCGCGCCGTGGTACATCAGGACGCAGCTTGTTTGGGGGTTTCGGGTTTAGGGTCTGGGGTTTAGGGTTTGGGGTTGAGGCTCAAAAACAGACGCCCTCCATTGCGATTTTAAGGGGCAATAGGGTAAGATAGGGATCTGCTGGAGGCCTCGCTGCAGTGCCCGCCGCACGACCAGGAACAGCTCGACTTTTGTTGGATCAAAACTGATCAAAATAAACCACAAACAAAATAAACCCCAAACCCCAGCCCAAACCCTAAATCCTAAAGCTGAAAAACCTTAAGCCCCAAACCCTAAACCCTAAACCCCGTTCCCCAAACCCGAAACCCTAAACCCTAAACCCTAAACCCCGTTCCCCAAACCCGAAACCCTAAACCCTCCTCGCCTCCCCTCGCCCGGGGGTATTTTCAGCCCAGCATCCAAGGCCAGGTCTTGGTGTTAAAGAGAAGCCCGCACCCTAAACCCTGCCCCCGCAAAAGTTTCCCTGAATCCTCAACCTTAAACCCTAAGTTGAACCCTAAACCGTAAACCCGTAAGCCCTGAACCCTAAACCCAATTCCTAAACCCTAAGTCCTAAGCCCTAAACCCTAAACCCTGAACCCTAAACCCTAAACCCTAAACCCTAAACCCTAGAAAACCCACAAGTTGATGGGAATCAACTTGTGCAGGAGGTGAACGTTGCCGAGGCGCTGAAGGGCTTCTCGGCTCGCCTGCTGACCTACAGCAGCGCGTCGGGGACTCGCAGGGGCTCAGGGGCTGACGGTTAGGGTTTAGGGTTTAGGGTTTAGGGTTTAGGGTTTAGGGTTTAGGGTTTCGGGTCAGCGCAGAAGACAAAAAACTACCTAATTACCACCCCAACAGCAATTACAAAAAGTTTGGGACAACTAAAACAAAATTTGGAATCAGCAACCACTAGGATTTAGGGTATAGGGTTTAGGAATCACTGCAATCCCTTCGGACCTTGAAGGCCGAAGCCCTGCAATGATTTAGGGTTCAGGGTCTCGCATTTTAGGGCCTCAGGTACCCCGTGCCCTTTAAGTCCCTCCCCGAAATCCTTCAAACCCGAACTCCTATAACCCTAAACCCATTAAACCCTTAAACCTCTAAAACCCTAAAACCCCAAAAATGCCCTAAATACCCTAAATACCCTCAAGCCCAAACTCTTCAAAAGCGGCGCACCAGGCTCATGGACCGAAATCCTCTAACCCTAAACCCTAAACCCCTAAACCCCTAAGACCCCTAAACCCTAAACCCCCAAGCCCCTAAAACCCTAAATGCTCCTTCAAGCCAAGGTTCATGGACCTAACCCTAAACCCTAAACCCCAAACCCTAAACCCTAAACCCTAAACCCCCAAACCCCCAAACCCCTAAACTCCAAACCCGGTTTAAACTCTAAAGTGGCGAACAAGGTTTATGGACCTCCGCGGCCGGGTGAAGGAGAACTCTGGGTCAGATGGCCTCACGAAGAAGCTCGGATGGGAACTGGGGCGGGGGGGGGGGGGGGTAGGTTTAGGGTTTAGGGTTTAGGGTTTAGGGTTTAGGGTTTAGGGTTTAGGGTTTAGGGTTTATAGAAATTGTATAGGGTTTGGGTCCCAAAAACGTTTCGAACGAAACGTTTCGCCTTTTAAAGCTGGGAGGGGGAGGAGGAGGGAGGGGGGGGAGGGGGGGGGAAGGGGGGGGAGGGGAGGGGGGGGGAGGGGGGGGGGGGGGGGGGGGGACTTGAAAATTCAGATGATACCATATAGGAGGGGGGGGGAGGGGGAGAGGGGGGGGGGGCGAGGTTTAAGTAAATTGAGCATTTGGCCTCAGACTTAAACTCGGCTTGTCAGCTGTTTAGACAAATAACTTGAAAATTCAGAATGATACCACATACAATTTCTAATTATTTTGTCTTGAGGGTTTAGGGTTTAGGGTTTAGGGAGGGTTAAGGGTTAGGGTTAGGGTGGGGGGGGGTGGGCTACCTGTTTTTGTGGGTACGCTAAACCCTTGAATCCCAAAGCCTCACATCGCTCGAGGCTTTGTAGAGTTGTCGAGGGGAAGAGGGGGGGTTCATGGGGGGCGACCCTGGACCCTTGCTTTAGGTTTCTTAGGCGAGGCTCGAAGGCCATCTTCTGCAACTTATGTAACTTGGAGTGACACAGCCGAAACCCTAAACCCCAAAACCCTAAACCCTAAACGCCCAGAACCCCAAACACCAGCCCGGGTTCCCCATCATGGCTAGAGTACCCTTCATCTAAAACGACAGACGGGGGGGGGGTAGGGTCTACGGCTTAGGGTTCCCTAATGCATGCAATCTTTTGGGATGTCTGCTTGAAAGCCATGTTCTTTATGGGCTAAAGATGAGTAACTGGTAAGGTTCCGGGTTTAGGGTTTTGAGTTTTGGGGCTATCCTCATTCCTTGTTTGGGGCCTGTAGGACCCCCTTGCTTTGGCACCTGCTGGATTCGCTGGGGTGGTTTTGGGGCCCCCAAATATGCTACCAGGAATCCCCAATGAAGCACACAACGGATCCAGGTACCTTGTTGTAGCAAATCTGGACGACAAGTAGATAAATCTTGAGGTTCCCTAAACCCAGGACTCCTGGGTCCGAAGTATCCGCTACCATGTTCTGGGCCCCGTGGGCTGCGCGCGACTTTTTCAGGGTGTTATCTACCTACTCGGGGTTCTCTGACAACTGAAAAGCAATCCTCAAACCTGGAACAGGGCTTGGGTAGGTTTCCAGGCTATACCCCTAAACCCGAAATGCTAAACCTCAAACCCTAAACGCTAAACCCTGACCTAAACCCTAAACCCTAAACCCTAAGCCGATGTCTGTGCACCTCATGCCCAGACGAGGCTCCTCAAGCCTCGAACCCCACACCCTAAAGCCTAAACCCAAAACCCAAAACCCTAACCCTAAACCCTAAACCCTAAACCCTAAAACCTAAACCCTCAGCCTAGGAAAGCCGTCGCAGAGAGGCCTTCGTGCTGTGGAGCTTCTGGGGTGGGAGTGTAGAAGCCACAAGGATGCCCAAAGCTTGGAGGACCTTCAGGGATTCGGGGTTTAGGGTTTAGGGTTTAGGGTTTAGGGTTTAGGGAATTGACCATGTGGTATGAGGCTTGTGAGGAATTGTTTTACCCTAAAGTGTACAGCCTAAATCCTAATCCCGATAAGGGTTGGGATCCCCTACTGCCCCCACTCCCTACACACTTCAGCCAACCCCACAGTCCATCTTGAAGAAGAATAAGATCTTGCTTCCCCCGAACCCTGCGGGCAACATTGAGCCGACATTGAAGGCCGCTCCCGTCATGGTGAAGTTCGAGGGAGAGGGTGCGATCACCGCTCAGGTTGGCAACCTCCTCGCACTTACAAAGGACGAGCAGGTGCAAGCCGCCGAAGAGCGTCGTGCCGGCCAGAAGCAAGTGCCCAGAGCACGACACTTGACTCGAATCGAGTGCGAAAAGTGTGGGACACTTCGCTTAGAGGGCCAACACATCTATTTTAGCTGCGAAGCCCAAACGCAACAGAAAGGGACGCAACAGACTTTGAGGTCGTTCCTTGCAGCTTCTCGAGATTCCCTCTTCAAAGCCCTCTCTCCCTCTCTCCCCCTCTCTCCCTCTCTCCTTCTCTCCCTCTCTCTCCCCCTCTCTCCCCCTCTCTCCCCCTCTCTCCCCCTCTCTCCCTCTCTCCCCCTCTCTCCCCCTCCCTCTCTCTCCCCCTCTCTCTCCCCCTCTCTCTCCCTCTGTCTCCCTCTACCACGGCTTGGGAGGGGCTAAACCCCGAACCCTAAACAGGGGGAGGGGGGAGGGGATTCGGGGTGTCGAGGATGGTCTGGGCGTCGTTGTTCTTCCGTTTCATCATCCTCACATTTCATTGCGTAAGTAAATAAATAAATAAATAGATAAATGTTATGTATATATATATATACATATAGATTTGTATGTGTTACTATGTGATACATATATATATATATATATAGTGTGTGTGTGTGTATGTATAGGCATGTATGCAACATGCCGAAAACCCCTCAGCTCGAAGCCCTACAGCCCCGCAACCCCAAATCCCGAAACCCTAAGCCCTAGGACCCTAAACCCTAAATAAACCCTAAACCATAGCCCTAAACCCTAAACCCTGAAACCCTCATCTACTCCCCTTCCCCTTCACCTAAAGCCCGTAAAGCCCCAAAGCCTGAGCCCTCTGACCCCAAACCCTAAGTCCCAAACCCTAAAGCCCTTAAAGCCCCACAGCCCGAGCTGCTGCTCTCGTCAGGCTCGGGAAGATTTGCGAGGGTCTCGAGGCAAGCCGACCGGACCTTGGCAGCTGAAACCCTAAACCCTCGACCCTAAACCCTAAACCCGTTTAGAGTTTCAGCCCCAAATCCGAAAGCATCGAAACCCTAAACCCCTAGTTCCCTAACCCATCAACCCTCGAGCCCTTTTGGGCCTTCAAGCCTCAACTGGGGTTTAGGGTTTAGGGTTTAAGCTTTTTTTAAGGGGCGGGGAGGGGGGGGGGTAGATGAGGGTTTCAGGGTTTTAGGGGGGTTTGGGAGTTTCGGGGGGTTTGGGGGGTTTAGGCGTTGCAGTTGAGGGGTTTAGGTGGGGGCTCGGAGCGGTTGAGGGGTGTGCGTGTGTAGGGTTCGGCTTCGAAATAGTTCGGGCTGCAGATTTCAGGAGGGGGGCCGGATGTGGGGGGGGAGGGGGGGGAGATTTTTCTGGCACTGGCACGCGACAGTCAAGGGGCTACTTAGGTAAATTGGGGCTATATTTCTCGGGGTCCCTACGCCTAAACCCCCCTAAACCCTATACCCCTGAACGACAGGTGGAAGAAGCAGCGATTGAGAGCATCAGCCACATCATCTTCAATAGCTCGGCCCGCAGAGGTTTCAGTGATTTTTACGTAGTGGAGCCAGGTAGGCATGCTTTAAGGCTTAGGTTTAGGGTGTAGGGTGTAGGGTTTAGGGTTTAGGGTTGAAGGGAGCTTGTCGGATCCTTGATACTAGTATACGATTGCACTACACTATTTATTGAGTTATTTTCGTACCTTCTTATATGACTTCTATTGTACGATGTTCTTTTCTACTATTTTCCCATTATTATACAATATCATGAAGGGTTGGTTTCCGAGCTTGATACTTGACAGCACGTGTGCGTTTCGAGCAGACGCTACCCTCGGGTAGCTATGCATTTTGGAAAATCAGGCCAAAAGGACGAAAGTAGTGAGGGTGCAGGGTTTTTTTGTGGGATTTGGGGTTTCAGGGGTTTCAGGGGGGGTTTTAGAGGGGGTTTAGGGGGTTTTAAGCCCTGGGGTTGAACCTTCGTAGTTGAACATGTGGATCCGAGCGAAGTCCCTGACTAACACAGCGTGCAGCTCAGGGTCGAGTTTGGGTTCTAGGCTGCCTTAAACCCTAAACCCTAAACCCTAAACCCTAAACCCTAAACCCTAAACCCTAAACCCTAAACCCTAAACCTACCCCTAAACCCTAAACCTCTTCAAGAGGATGGGGGCGAGGGTACAACCTTGAGCTTTTCTTTGTGGTGGAAAACGTGGTTCGTTACTATGTAAGTCCTTCGTCTACATGCCTTGGGGAGGTGGACAGGGTTGGGGACGGCCAACTTGACTGATGGGATGGAGTACCAGAACACATGATCTGGGTCCTTGTTGGCTTTAACGGTACATTTTTGTTATAATACAGTCCCAACAAGGGTTTTAAAAACGATAACTTACCATATAACCCCAACAAGGCCCCAGTGATGGGGGCTACAGGCTTCTTTCACCTCCGGAGGATGTCCCGTTAGCGATTCCAGATATAAACGAAAAACAAAAAAACGCAGCAACGATTTGCAAATGCCATAAGACTGCGGTTCAAGTGTATGCTGCAGGCGTTTTCACTGGGGTAACGCCTAACACCCTAAACGCCCTAGGGCGTAGTAGGATTGAGGGTTTAGGGTTCCCCTCAACCCTCATCCCTCATCCCCGAAACCCCTGGCAAGCCCGACACCCCCAGCCGACAACGAGTCGTCTTCCGACGCTTGAGGTCTGAAGTCCTTCCAGAAAGAGAATGCTCCAAGCACGGATGTTGCCGGGGCCCTCAACTTACTGTTGGTTAGTAGGGAATGGGGGAATGAGGTACCCTGTATATTCCCTTAAAGGGTATATATAGGCGGGGCCCTAATTCCCTCATTCCCTGCTAAGCAGCAGTAAGTCAGGTTACTTCGGCCCATCCTGGTCATCATAACCCTGAACCCTAAACCCTTAATCCGAATTACTATAAGCGGGACCCAAAAGCCAAAGCCAAAAGTCCTCTTGCGCTTAGGGTTTAGGGTTTAGGGTTTAGGATTTAGGGTTTAGGGTTTGGGGTTTAGGGTTTAGGGTTTGCGATCGGACACGGAAACCTCACCAAATGCAGCCGGGTTCGTGGCTGGAGGCTCCATGGTAGATATTCCGACAATTCGGATAGGATGGACTTATCGGGATCCTGAAACCCTCAAACTCTAAAGCCCTAGAACTCCCAAACCCCACAGCCCTTGAGCCCAAAGTCCCAAAGCATAGAGCCCTAAAGCCCTAGAACCCTAAAACCCCAAAGCCCAAAAACCCCAAAACCCCAAAGCCCTAATACTAAAACCTTAAAGCCCTAACACACTCTAAACCCCCAAAACCCCAGAACCCTGTTGGAAGCCCTAAAGCTCCAAGAAGCCTAAAGCCCTGTAGCCCTAAAACCTGAACCCCTAAACCCTAAACCCTAAACCCCTAAAACCCGAAGCCATAAGATTGCTCAAGAGCCTTAAACCCTAAAACCCCAAAACCCCAAAACCCCAAGCCCTAAACGGGAAACCCCGAACCCTGAACCCTAGACCCTAAACCCTAAACCCTAAACCCTATAGCCCTAATTTCAAGCCTTAGATTAGAGCCCGATAGAACCTTAGAACCTTCAACCTCGGAGCCGCCCTTTTTTGGTTTAGGGTTTTAGGGTTTAGGGTTTAGGGTTTAGGGTTTAGGGTTTAGGGTTTAGGGTTTAGGGTTTAGGGTTTAGGGTTTAGGGTTTAGGGTAAAACCCTTCAACCTTCCACTGGGCCGAGGTCACCTGCCAAGAGTTTTGCGCCGCCTGCTCCACCAACGAGCCTGTGCAACTCGACACGCTCGTCAAGATTTTCGACAAGGCCTTTTCTGTGGGGTTCGGGGTTTAGGGTTGAGGGTTTAGGGTTTAGGGTTTAGGGATAGGGCTATTTGTGGTTATTTCGGGTTTTGGGTTTAGGGTTCAGGTCTTTGGGTTTGCAAGACCACCTCCGTCAAGGCGAAACCTTAGGCTGAAAGCTGTTTGGGTCTTTTGGCCCCCGACATGGAGAACCCTAAGGCTTGGGTCCTGGAAACCGTGCTTTAGGGTTTAGGTCCAGGTTGAGGGGGCTCCCTAAACCTAAACCGCTTCTCGGTTTATTCCGCAAGCCGGCTGAGGCCCCGCATGAACTGCACGCAAGGCAAAGACATAAATTCGACAGCGCACGATCTATGTTCGTGCGTGACGCCCATTTAGGTATTTCCCAAAATAGAGGTAGCCCGTATATACACCAACTAGAATGGCCCCTTAAACGGACCCCAAAAGGGTACCCCTATTTTCGGAAACCACCATTTAGGGGACCCCTAAAATGGACCCCAAATAGTAGGATTCCTTTATAATTTCGGAAACCCTTTTAGGGATCTATCATGTTTAGTGGTGGTTCAAAATATGCTTCATGTTGTTCGTGCTCTTGTTGAATCCATGTCATGAGCCCTTCATGACATTGCTTCTTATCGTTGCCTACTTCTTAGACTGCATATGGGTAAGATGTGAATATGTTCTATGGTATGCATGCCATTTGTATATAGAAATATACATAACTAAGAAATACTTCATCTATAACTCGATAGCATGTTGGATATGTGATTGTGATGTGTCATGTTCTTTACTGTTGCTGCAAGTAATGAAGTTCATATGTCTTTCAGCATGACATTGCCTGCACACTGTATATCCTTGCAATTCCTTATGTAGCCTTGAGTTTGTTGTTGCTCTGCCCCAAGACCACTACACATGCCTTGTATTCTTCGTACTCATTCTTGTTCTTCTTAATGCCGTTGTGAGTTTTTTTGGTTTCTAATTTTGGTGGGAGCACAACTTCGGATCAGGGATTTCGGGTACAGAGTGTAGGGGTGAGGGTTTAGGGTTGAGGGTCAAATTCGGGTTGAGGTGTCTGGGTTGAGGGTTAGGGTTTTTGGTCTATCCCACCATACTTTTTGTTCTCTGCTTTGGGCATAGGTTTCCCCAGCTCAAGGGGATTTTCGCAACCGAAACGAAAGAAGAATCCTTCCACAAACCCATCCCCTGCACCCTCCGCCCCCCCCCCCCCCCCCCCCCCCCCCCTCCCCCTGCATACAAAGCCCTAAACCCAGTCCCCTAAAACCCAAATCCAGTTCCCAAAGGCTTCATACCCTAAACCCTAGAGCCAGTTCCCTAAGCCCTCAACCCTACACCTATGCAACCAGTTCCCAAAGCCTAAACCCCAGACCCAGTTCCCCAAACCCTAAACCCTAAGCCTAGTCAACCCCGCATCTCCAAGTCTGAAAATATACTATGGATGGTGTTTACGCTATCTTTATTCTAATCTACGAACTGCTCAAGAACCCCCCCAAAAAAAATCTGAAATATTCGTCCTTGTAAGGGTAACGTAGGGATTATTATTTTATCATTGTTTTTGTGGGGGGGGGGGGGTTCTTTAAGCAAATCGTAGTAATGGTGTATAAACCTATTCAACCCCGCAGTCCCGGAATCTCAAAAGGATCGCCGCTTGGGCCTGCTTGAACGTGTCTTCCTCGACCAGTCCCTCGCGGAGGCCTTGCAAATGGATGGGAAAAGAGGGGGGAGGAGGGGAGTTAGGGTTTCGGGTCTAGGGTTTCGGGGGTTTCGGGGGTTTAGGGTTCAGGGTTCAGGGTTTAGGGTTTAGGGTTTAGAGCTGGGTGGGCACGGGGTTGGGGCTTGTTAAGGGTTCGATAGCCATACCCTCTCAAACCCTCAAACCCCTGCAGCCCTTAAACTCGTTCAGCTCTAAATCCCAGGAGCCAGCAGGCCAGTAGGCTGCGGGCTGCAAACTTCAGAGTTTACGGTTTGAGGGTTGAGGAATTGGATTTTTGGAGCTTTGGATTTTTGGAGTTTTGGGGTTTTAGCGTTTTTGGAGGTTTTTGGAGCTTTGGAGTTTTGGAGTTGTTTTTTGGGTTTAGCGTTTTTGGGTTTTAGCGTTTTCGCGTTTTAGGGAGTTTGACGTTGTAAAGTGTTGGAGGTTTAGGGTTTTAGTGTTTTAGGGTGTTAAGGCCAAACGAACATGGAAGCCACAAAGCACTGTCAAACAACGCCCCTGAACCCTATACACCATATTAACCCGATGGACTTTATTAACCCTATAAGCCGTATACACCCTAAACCCTCAACCCTAATTCCTAATCCCTAAACCCCCAACCCCACACCCTAGTCCCTCAACCGTGAACGCTATAAACCCTATGAACCCCAGAACCCCTCGAACCTGTAAGCCCTATAAACCCCGAAACCCTACACCCCATAAACCCTACAAACCCTGCAAACCCTACGAAGCCTACAAACCCTATAAACCCCATACACCCTAAACCCTCAACCCTAAACCCTAAACCCTAAACCCCAAACCCCCCCTCCCCCCCGGGTAAGCATGCTCTTAGTCTTCTTGTTCTTCTGCAGGTGAGGCGATCTGCCCTTGCTGGCGAGGGTGCGGGTGGCGAGGCAGGGTTCGGGGTTTTGGGGTTTTGGGGTTTGGGGTTTAGGGTTTAGGGTTTCGGGTTTAGGGTTACGGGTTTAGGGCTTGGGGTTTG